GACTTGCAAAGCAATGACTTGGTCCCACCTTTGGAAGGTAGTGACATCAGTGATTACCTCATTTCAGGCTCCCCATCCACAACTGACGTTGCTCCTTTGCTGCCCTCCCAGCTTTCAGGTGAGAGTTGGCCGTGTCCTGCTGTACGTAACACCCGCGATACGCGATCTGTATTCTTTAAATGATTTATTTAACTCTCTTTGTCCTATCCTGTTTGTCAGTTTAAGTATGTTAAAACATTTCATGTCAAACAAATAGATTTTTGAAAGTAAGCCGCAAACTTCAGCTCAGCCTTTTGTCAGTTCAACAGAACCATGTCTCTAAACCATTCATCGTATCTGTCTTTTAAATCTTCCCTGAGAAGATATTGCAGATATTTTTCTGTCACAAATCGCCCCTGACACTCACCTATATCCACTCCAACCCGTTCGCACCTTTTCTTTCACCTTTTTTATATGCTGTTAATTACTCTGGATGGTTGACTGTAGGTATTTAAACTCATCCACCGTTACCTCTTTATTGTTCCCCTCGCCTCACTATCCTCCATACAAAATGCATTTTGTATTTGTCCACCGGCTTCTTATCTTCACCACAGATGACAATGTCGTCTGCAAACATCATGGTCCACGGAGCCACATGTCTTACCTTCTTTGTAAACCTGTCCGTCAACATAACCCACCTCTACCTTGAACCCATCAGTCACTCTGACAACACACCTATGGTACCTACTTCCTGGCCTTGGACATGGAAGAGCCTGGATAAGTCAGTCGGTAGAGCATCAGCCTTTTAATCTGAGGGTTGAAGATCTGTTCAGGCAGAAGTGTAGCAGTTATTCACACCTTACTTACATGCAGAAGGTCCTGAGTTCGAATCCCAGAGGAACAATGTACTGTACTTGGTGCCCCTGTTTGGCAGCCTGTTGCAGCAGATCTGCTGTTAACACAACGAATTCCCCAACAAATTCAATAAAGTTCTTATTATTATTATTATTTCTCCCCACTCCGGACTGTTTCATACAGTACCAGAGTTCTTTCCTAAGTACCCTATCATATGCATTCTCTGAATCTACAGAGACGCATCACAATTCCTACTGCACTTCTCTGATCTTTTTTTTTTTTTTACCAACACTCTCAAAGCAAAACATTCAATCTATCTTACATTCCCCAGGTATAAAACCAAAGTGCTGCTCATTGATCTGAACCTCTATTAATTAATAATTGATCATTGGTAATTGATAGAAACACCCGCCAGAGACTTGGCTATGTTTTCTCTGCACCTGCAGCCATACTGTATCCATATGATTATCTGTTATGCTTCTTGTGATTCTTATCGATATAAAAAGTATATTTATAATTAGGGACGTCCAATATTATGCTTTGCTAATATTCCGATATGCCGATATTGTCCAAACACTTCATGTCCAATTCCATATCAACCGATACCGATATATGCCGCTGTTTTCCCCCAAAAAATAGGCACGCTATGTCAGGTTTTCATTTTGTTTCCCGAGGTCAAACCAATAACGATTTCTACAGATAATACATAATTATGCTAATTCCAGGTCGTTATGTTTGATTGTTCAAACTACAATACATTTTAGGCTGTTGCACATTTCACTTTGGCAAGGCGGAGATTCTCCTTTCTAATAAATTTGTTCTTTTTCTTATTTCCATCAAAGTGAACTCTGCACTGTCACACGCCCCAGTCTGTGCGCCACCCACTCATCAGTCCTCTTCCCTAAGCACACACAATGGCAACTTCGGTCAACACCATCATCACCAACCTGGGACATACAACCAGAAGCAAGTCTCCTCCATCCAAAATCCCACCTATGCAAAGGCAGACGCTATTCACATCAAAGAAGCGGCTGGAGAGGGGAAGTCAGCCAATTTGAACCCTTTCATGCATGACGGTCACTACAGTGGACAGCTGTGAAAATGTCGTTTTCTATGATAAGAGTAGGTTTTGATGGCAGTGTTGCATATAAGCCTCTACAGTGGACGCCTGAGAATCACCCAACACTGCCATACAGTGGTCAGCCTTTGCAACTGCAGAATAATTGTGTCAACATTCCAAAAAGAAAATTTGGTGTATAAAAACAGAACCAAATCAGTTCTTATTTTGATGTCTAAAAAAACACATAAAAACCCTTTTTTTTAACTCAGTATATCAAGGGTCATGCATCAAAGGGTTAAAATTAGCTGTGGTGAGTTGGTACAGCACCCTTTGTGGACCCCTCAGTGGTCGACTGGGTGTGAGACAGTTTCTGATATTTTTGTTTATCTGCTGAAATGCTCAGCCCTATCTCTGTGAGACAGACATTCAAAGAGGACTCCACCCACTGTCAACATAAAGACAGCAAAAAAAAGAGACAGAGCTGTGTCAATGTCCCCGTATACAGCATATGTGTCAAACTCAGAGATTCTTAACCTGAGAAATTAAAAGTTTGGTTTTTTTTTATTACACAGCTTGAACACATCAATTGCAAAAACATGTATTAGTCTCTTATGGAGTAGTTACATCCATACCAGCGGTCCCCAACTTTTTTTTGTTCCAAGGACTGGTCAGCCTACAGACTGGTAGTAAGGTGCTGAGCATTGAAGTATCATAAAATTTTTAAAAATAAAATCTACTAGACTTGATTCTGTTTGTATCAGAGTCTGAATAACTTCTAGTGTTTTAAAGATATTTGCGAGATAATCTTTAAATAAAGAAAATAAATGGATCCATCCATCCATCCATCCATTTTCATCTGCTTATCCGTTACCGGGTCGCGGGGGCAGCAGTCGCCACCCAAATCACACTGCACCGTTCCAACCCCCCATAAACCTTCCTGCGGGTGGTGAGTCCACTGGAAGATACCAACCGCCCTAACCGGGATTCGAACTTGCCCAGGAGGTGAACCCTGGGGTTCCACACCAATGACAGAGACATTGCCTCTGGGCCAAAGCGCCACAAAATAAATGGATATGACTTGATTTTCTCTGAATGAAGGAAATTAAAAAAATTAAAAAAATGAAGTACATTTTTTCACTGTGTTCTATAGTGGCCTGATACCAAATGACTTATGGACTGGTACCGGTCCAGTGTAGCAGAGGTTGGGGACCCCTGATCTAAACAGTCTTCTATTTTCAACCGTCCCTTCAAAGGGGAACTGTACTGCTGAAAATGAGTTTGACAGCCCTGCCGTACAGTATTTTCCTCCCTGTTTGTGTGTGTACCAAGAAAAACGACAATACTGTTGCATCTACTATCTCTGTCTTTAAGGACATCTCCGTTGTCTGTTGTCCTCACTGTCTCTGTTTCTTCACAGACTACTGCTTCCGTTGTCTCCTAGCCTGTCTCTACTGCCAGCTTCTGTCCACGTGTTCCGTTTTGGGAGAGTGTCTAGTGTGCGGAACGGTGGGGGCTGGCTGCTGTGATACCATGACGAGCTGCTGTAACTGTTGCCTGGAGGCTGCGGGGGAAATGACATGTACAGAAGAGGCTTGTCAGCCAGTGTTGGATTGTGAGATACTAGGGGAGTGCTGCTGCCCATCTGACTGTCTCGAGATCTGTGTGGAGTGCTGCTCTATCTGCTTCCCTGCATAGAGCAGCCGATCAGAATAAAGCCCTACTAAGAGGGGTGTTTCACAGAGTTAAAGGACAAATGTTGTCATCAGTGTGACACAACAAGACTTAATCCAATCAGATAGCGTTCACCTGTCAAGTTTACACATTGCGAGCTCCCAAGGTGGGACCAAGTCATTGCTTTGCACAAGTCACAAGCAGGTCTCAAGTCTTTGCACTCAAGTCCGAATCAAGTCTCAAGTCAAAATAGGCAAAGTCCGAGTCGAATCCAAGTCAAGACTGAAAAGTGTCAAGTCAAGTCCCAAG